GTTTGCAGATGGGTCTCCCTGCTTCCCCAGGGCCCACCTTTTGTTTTGCTCGTCTTTATTCATGCTTTAGGGGGCTCCTATGGGCGACCGCGGTTTAAGCTAACCATCTGATTCAGTTCCCTTCACACTGTGGCCTCAGGGGCACCCGTTTTCCTCCCGAGGACTACGACGCACCCCTCTTCGCGCAGAGCAGCGCCCTCTCGGTCCGAGCACCACGTGTTCTTTGTGCCCCGCAGGGCAGTTCTGGCACGTGACTGACCTGCACTTGGACCCTACATACCACATCACGGCCGACCGCACCAAGGTGTGCTCTTCGTCCAAAGGCGCCAGCGCCTCCGACCCGGGCCCTTTCGGAGACGTCCTGTGTGATGCCCCCTATCGACTTATCGTGTCAGCGTTCGACTTTATTAAGAATTCGGGGCAAGAAGCTTCTTTCATGATATGGACAGGGTAAGTCATTGTGGAAGCACCTTTGCTCACTTGCCATTTATCCAGCGTGCCCTGAGCTTCCTTCAAATGCTGGATTCTGGGGCTGGTGAGATGGCTCAGTGGTCTAAAGCACCTACTTAGAACAAGCTAAGCTAAGCAAAGCACAGGGACCGCGGTTCAATCCCCCAGCACCACATGCCAGCCAGCTGCGCCCCCTGGTGGGCTGAGCTGGCCACACACACACACACACACACACACACACTAAATAAATAAAAAAAAAAGAAATGCTGGATTCTGTGAGAAGCGTGATTGTGTTTTAAAATTTTTTTGGTTAGGGCTGGGGAGATAGCGTGGCGGTCTAAGCGCCTGCCCGGCTAGTGCAGGGACCTGGGTTCCGTCCCTGGTACTACATGCACGCCGACCCTGCACCGTGTCGCCCTGGAACCCCGGGCGTGGAGGCGCATGCCTGCAATCCCAGTGCTGGGGAGGCTGAGGTGGGAGGATCACTGTGAGTCCGAGCTTCGTGGTAAGACCCTGTACCAAATAAATACAAGATTACAAGAAATTGGTTAAAAAGCATTAGGCCTGCTCTCAAGGTCCTGAGATATATATATCTCATGCAGAGTCTAGAAGTTAGTCGCGTGGGTTCCATGACGATTCCGTCAATAGCACGCTTGATGTATTGAGTAGCCTGGTAACTGATCTTGGTAAAAGGACCGGGACAAAAGGTGACAGAGGGGCTTGGCCCGAGATGTAAACTGTTACTTTCTGGCGGGCTCATTCAGTTGTTCACCCCTCAGGAGAGGGTGGGGAAGCTTGTGCGTTCAGTACCTGGGAGTGACCACGGCCCATTCTCGCAGAGTGTTTACTTCCTGCTGTGGGTTCTTTAATTAATTTACACCTTGCAGCCGGATCTGGCCAGCAGGACTGCTGTTACTGCTCCCGTGTTCCAGGAGGCACGGGGCGTCTACATAACTGCTCAGGAGTACACGGCTAGGGTCAGCTAAACTGCAGCCAGCACCCAGGCCTTTGGCTTAGAGTCTGCGCTTCACTAATACAGTATATCTTTGTTACATGAATCTTTAGTCAGACAGTGAAGTAGACTGAGATGCCCAGTGTATTTATTGGATTACATTTTTTGAGACAAAGTCGCATGATATTGCCAGGCTGGTTTCGAACTCCCGGCTCAAGTGATTCTCCCGCCTCCGTCTCCTGAGCAGCTGCGGCCAGAGGCACGAGCCCCCCACCCCCCCATTCCCCTACTCTTAACTGTGGTTTGTTATGTTAAAGTGCGGTGTGCAGCGAGGGAGCTTCAGGGCCTTGGTGCAGCGCTCTGTGTGAAAGTGGCAAGCTTTTGTTCTTGACAACTCTGTCTGCTTTTCAGCGACAGCCCACCTCATGTTCCTGTTCCGGAACTCTCCACAGACACTGTCATAAAGGTGATCACGAACATGACAGTGACCATCCGGAGTTTCTTCCCAAGTCTCCAGGTGTTCCCTACACTGGGCAATCATGACTACTGGCCGCAGGTAGGTTGGACGTCATCTTCCGGAGCACTTAGAAACCTGCTCCCCTGCATGGTGTCAAATTACGACAGTAATCCAGAGGCAGCACGAAGTCGTGTGTAGGCAGAATACGCTCCTAAGGGTAACTGTTGAGGAAAGCAAGACAGATGCTCTGGGGACATTAGAAGCATACTTTAAATAATTAATAACAAGGCATCTGAGTGAGTGTTCCGAAGTCATGGTTAGTTCCTGTTTTCCTTTGTGGCCTTCAGTTTCTCTGTTGGACACTCTCCTGCTCCTTGTGTTTCCATCATAAGGCTAACAAGATCTGTGACAAAGGCTTGCATTTTCCAGAATGTCTGTTAGGCACCAAGAGGCCTGCATACTCTGCTAAAAGTTAAATTGTGATCAAAAACAAAAATATAAAAGCTCTATAGTAAGAACTAAAGAGGAAGGTGAATGTTCACACACAGTTAATCTAATTAAATGATGTTCAAAGCAGAAACTCAGAATATTCGATCCCCAACCTAGCCCTGGCTCCCGCCAGTCAGGGTGGCCCTTGGTTGAGCTACTGGTGCATAGCTGCTGGACTCCAGTGGTGGTGGCAGCGTCCTGCTCCTGTAGTGCAGAATCTTAGATTCCTGCAGACTCGTGAGATCCCAGAGGATGCTGCTGAGTCCAAGATGCTGCTGGCAGTCTGACATTTCACTGGAAGACACTGTGCATACTCTATGGCTGCGTTTGTGCCCTCCTAGCAGAGTAAGAACGGTTGTCACAGGGACCTTGTGGTCCATCAGATTGATGGATCGCGTCCTTCTGTTTTTATGGACAAGTTCAGCACCCTGGTCTGCACCAGCCCTCTAGTCAGAGATGAGGAAACTGAGACCCGGAAATGCCGAGTTGCTTGTCCACTGCGCTCAGACACGCGGCGGCAGGTCCCACGAGCTGCACCTTGCGGTCCCAGTCCTGTGCACTTGCCTTAGAACGTGTGATCTCCCACATCTGTCCTGTAGCCCCGTGGCATGGGTGCCTGGGCACACAACCTTTTCTCTGTGGGTGGCACACACCTGCCAGCCTTTCATCCCGGGCTACCTCCTCTGCTTTGATGGCTGTTCTCACCACTCAATGACGTCATTGTCCAAGGCGTGGTTTCAGGGCTATCTTCTTTCTCTACTGGACTTGGCTGCCCTTTCTGTGCCCCCAGGGCCTCTGCGGAAGCCCTGGCCCAGGGCCCTATTGCGTTTGACTGTGTTCTCTGTCGTCTCCCCTACTAGGCTAGAAATTTCCTGAAGACTAAGTAGTCATGCTTGTGTCTGCAGACGCTTAATGCAGTAGTCGGCATCAAGGGAGTGCTTAAGCGCCTTAATCCACGTAGCTTTGAAGTTTCACTGGCACTGTGTTGTGTGTGGCCAGGACCAGCTGCCCACAGCCACCAGCCAAGTGTACGACGCGGTGGCCAACCTCTGGAAAGCCTGGCTGGAGGAGGACGCTCTGAGCACGCTGAGGAAAGGTGAGTAGGCTGCTCACTTAGGCCTCGGCCCTTTTTGCGCTGGCTGAGTTGGCATCCACAGTGTTGGCTGGGGGGTGCTGCTGTCAAGCACCTCCGCACCCAGTTTTCCTGGAGGACGGTGAGTAGTGGTGTGGCCTGTGATCTGTGTCTTGCGCCTGGTTGTCCTCTGGGGAGCCCTTTCCCTTCCCCTTCCCTTTCGATCTGGGTGTCCCCCACTGAGCCAAAGCTGATGGTGAATTTGCATGTGGGTGAAAGTGTATGTTCTGTGAAACTCTGAATGTCCACTCACTTTGAACCAGGCCAGCAGGATTCTACAGGACAGACAGCTGGCCGAGTCAGAACAAGCGAGCCTTTAATGCAGACCTGTGGGTGTTTGTACCACTGCAAAGTTGGTGCCCCTTCCGGGCACCATCTACAGCCCCTTCTGAGCCCATTGATGGGTGCGCCCTTGGCTCACGTGAGCGTTGGTGGGGGACAGCCTGGTCAGTAAGACTTCAGGGCTCCTGAGGCTTCAAGACAGCTAAGTTAAGGCCTCGACTTCTCTCTGCCCTGGACTCTTTTCACTCTTTCCTCAAACCTTTGCCTTTTGCCACTGTTGTGTTGTTGCTTTTGCTAGCACCAAGCAGATTACAGTACATACGAATTTGAGGTTTGCTATGTTAGAAGGCGGCCCTGGTTATGATTAATCTAGGGAACTGTATCTGGTTCTGCCCACCCAGGCCAGAAATGTACAGGAGAGTATGTGTACAAGGAAGGAAGAGCCATGGGATGCAGCCAGCATTGCTGAAGAGTCATGGCAGATTTTAGAGAGGCTCTGCTCAGTGCAGAGCGAGATGGGCAGGGAGGGCTGACCAGGGCGGTCCTGGCCATGCCAAGCAGCCAGATGAGTCCCCAGGCTGTTCCTTCTGGTGAAGTTCGCCCACTTTCCACTTAGACCCTGGAGTCTGGGATTAGTGTTGAAAACGTGAAGGGTTTTCTGTTAAGGCCTTCAAAACAAAGGCAACGTTGAGCAGAGATGCCCTGAATGAAGGCCTCTGATGGCTATTGACCTCTACTAATGGGACCGAGGGCCGGCTTTCCAGACAGAGCTCTGCCACCGGCAGAGCAAATGCTTGTCAGGTGCGGCAGCGATGGCAAAGAAGGAAGAAAGAAAGAAGCAGCCTCTGCGGTGATGGCAGGCTAAGGCCAGGTGGATGGCGAGCAGCCCAGAGTGTCGGGCCAGCTGTGGACCTCCGGAGGCGAGGACCTTCGGTGCTGATCACCACAGGGCCAGGGGGTTGCTGGGTCAGGCTTTTAGCCTCTTTTCTGAGCAGATGGCAGCGGCTCTGGGTGATCTGACGTTTCTTTCCTCAGTGTCTTTAATGAGACCTGTGTGTGCTATTCTTTAGGTTCAGCCTCATCAGCTCTCCAATCTTGAAAGTGTGAGTTGATGTGTGAATCCTTGTTTTAATGTAAAATTCAGTCTCATTGCTTCTGCCCAAATATTTTATTACCGTTCCATCTGAATATTGAATACAGCTATTACTGCTGCGTGTACACCAGCAGAGGTGATATATTTTATTGTCTTTTGAATCGCATATCTAAACTCTTAAGAAATAAGTTGATTTTTCCTGACTACGTTGTAGACCTAAGAAATTGCCTTGACAATATCTGAATATATGTGTGTGTATGTTCCTAAATGTGCTGTACAATTCTTTTTATAGGAGGTTTTTATTCACAGAAAGTCCCACATAACCCAAATCTGAGGATCGTCAGTCTCAACACGAACCTGTACTATGGCCCCAATGTTGTCACCCTGAACGAGACTGACCCAGCCAATCAGTTCGAATGGCTCGAACATACCCTGAACAGCTCTCAGCAAAACAAAGAGAAGGTAGCTCCCAAGACCAAGGCTACCTGTCTGTTTATGGAGGGGGGGGGGGTGGAATCAGGCATCAAAGAAGAAAGCACTGAAATTTGCAGGTCTAAAACGATTGTGACTGAGAGCTCTGTTACGTTATTTGTATCTACGCAGGTGTGGTCTGAGTGAGGCAGGTACAACCGTAGTGGCCTTCAGAGTGACTTGGTTTCATCCCTTCTTTCATCATAAATAAGATAAATGATGTTTGCCTATTAAATTTTAATTAATGCACTTTCAGTTATGCAGTTTGAGACCATAATGTTAAGTAAAATAAATCCAACGCGTGACCTTATGTAGCTTCTCTGTAAGAGAAACCCAAAGTCTAAATAATTTAAGACAGTAATAGGAAACAAAGAGGTTGCCTTGTTTGCAAATGGAAACAGATCTAGAGTGGGAGGGATGGAGGGGAATAAGGCGTTAGGTGCTTTTCATGCAGGGTTCTCAAGAGAAATGTAGGGGGCCTGCCCCTTAGCTCAGTTCTTTAAGTGGCTGCTTCAACAAAGCAGTCAGGCTCAGGTTGCTGTGGTTCCAACCCCACAACTCAAGCCAGCCAAACCTGCCGTGAAAGCATTCGGAGCAAAAAAAAAAAAAAAAAAGAGAAATGTAAATATCAGATACTGACCTACTAATAGAGACAGATGACAGAATGGAGCAAAAAGACAGTTACTACATTTGCAGTCCTTGGAGAGGGCGGGTCACTCAGCCACGCAGGGGTGTGGCGAGGCCCTCACCCCCCGCGTCCCGCAGGTGTACATCATCGCGCACGTGCCGCTGGGGTACCTGCCCTTCTCCAGCGGCATCACGGCCATGAGGCAGTACTACAACGAGAGGCTGGTGGAGCTCTTCAGGAGGTACAGCGGCGTCATCGCGGGACAGTTCTACGGTCACACGCACAGGGACAGCATCATGGTTCTTTCCGATGGAGCAGGTAGGACCACCTAAGGGACTGGAGCCCTGCGCTGAGCATCCAGGGGCTGAAGGGCTTCAGGGAACGGGTCGGTCCTGGGCCGGGTGGTGAGCGCCCCAGCCCGGAGGTGTGGCCCAGAACCGGCCCCTTCGGCAGGAGCTCGGGGCCACCCAGGGCCGCACCCTGTTGTCCATGCTGAGGCCTCTGAAGCTTGGCTCCCGGCAGCTGCTTTGTACGTCCCTGGGGACTTGGAGCCGTTGGTTGCTTAGCTGCTGGGTTCCAGTTTCTTTTTGTTGGATCTCTTGTTCTCCGAGTTTAACTAACAGCAAAAGCCTGCCCCAGTCTTTCCACTGTGTTAGGCTCGTCCTTGGAGGTGCTTGGCAGCGACAGAAAAGGAAATCGAAGTTCTGGCAGGAAATGGAGTGTGTAAAGTAATAATTCTGATTTTATAGTAAGTAGGAAGAAATGAGTGTCTATTTTCTTCAGTAATTGGAGAATTACTGAAGAAATGTTTACTTTTCGAAATATTTACTTCTCATCTAGCATGAATTGGCTTGGAAAAAAATGACTTTTTAACAGTTTGACAATTTTTTTTTTAACAGAAAAATATACTTTTTAATGGCTCTTTATATCACATGGTGACATCCTATCCAGATTCTCATTGTGTATGCTTTGAAATACTGTTTTTGGTAGATGTACAGAGCAAACCAGGTTTGTGTGTGTGTGTGTGTGTGTGTGTGTGTGTGTGTGTGTGTACTTGTGATAGGCTTGGATTGTTTTTAATTATGAAAACGTTCAAAAATGTATAAAAAAGCAGAGATAATGATACAGTAAACCCATATGTCCTCATTATTGCAACTCAACAGAAAGACTTTGCCACAGTTCTTTACCTGTCATGCTTGGGTGACATGTCTATATGTCATACCTGTGTATGTCTGAAGCCCTTACAAAAGTGAATCTCAGCTGGGGACAGCTCAGTGGCTTGACCACCTACCTGGCAACCGCAAGGTCCTGAGTTCAGTCCCTCGTACCAAAAAAAGTGAACCTCAAGTATCAGATGCATCAGCTCTGCACACTTCTGCGTTCATTGTAGACGCGTGTGATTTACATGAGCCCCGTAGCGCTTCCTTACCTGATGAAGCCAGCAGGAATCCCTTGGTACTGCCATTAGACATGCTCCAGTGTCGTCAGATGGAGCTCTGCAGTTGCTTCGCATCCCTGTCCATCGATGATTACGTGTCATCTGGCTATGTCTGTGAAGCCCTTCGTCCGGAAGCTGTTCATTTTTTAATATAATTAGACTTCAATTTAAAAGTATGTATCTACATGTGTGTTTTCCAGGACGTCCAGTGAGTTCTTTGTTTGTGTCTCCTGCTGTTACACCTGTGAGGAATGTTTTCGCAAAAGAGACCAACAACCCTGGTGTCCGCCTCTTTCAGTACGAGCCTCGTGATTACACACTGTTGGTAAGTGGGCACCATTGTGGGGTTCGCTCCACGCGTGCACAGCTTTGCGACCTTCATGGGGGTCATCACGAGTTTCTCAGCGCAGCCGTGGGAGCTGTGCTCTGTGCAGGAGTCTCATGACACCCTCTTGCCCTCCTGGAATGCCTGACCATACTTTTTCAGAGTGGGCTGGGGAGGTTGGCCTTTGGGGTGCTGCTCTGACCCTCTGAAGATGGCACACTGATTTAGAGAAGGCGATCACTGGATGGCACCTTCCGGGTGAAAAGCTTTACTAAGTCATAGTAATTAGTCTTTTCCAGAGAGTAACTCTGGTCTGGAACCACACTCCCGGGCTGCAGCCCCCAGCATCGCTGTTTCCCAGCTTATTCCTTCCTAAAATGGGAATCAAAATAGAACTGAATTCCATGGGTTGCTGTGAGAAGTCCTCCAACAAATGTATGCATTGCATTTTAGAAGAATGCTGGACCTACACTAGGTGCTTAATAAATGCTTAAAAAATGGGACACTTACTTCTGAGACAGAAGTTCTCTGGAGTGATGCCTTAGAATAATTTAGCACCAAGAGCCTGGCCATTTAGGGTGTGAAAACTTTAGTTTGGCTCGCTGCTCTTGTCTACAGATATAATTTGAAAAGACTTTGCTTCAGTTAAAGCCATCATTGACACATTTGCATTTTCCAAAACTAAATTGCAATGAGAGGTGGCTCTGTTGTGCCCTACGAAAGCAGCAGGGGTGATGGAGACATTGAGTCTCTTTTCCTCTGCAATCAATTTTAGTGATACTGGTTTTAAGTTAAACCTAGCGAGTCTGTGTTGCCACGTGCCCTGCACACTGGGCACCGCCTCCTGTGCCAGCAGATGAACCGGAGCTGGGCCTCTTGTCCCGCAGGACATGGCCCAGTATTATCTGAACCTGACGGACGCGAATCTGAAGGGAGAGTCCGAGTGGAAGCTGGAGTACGTCCTGACCCAGACCTACGGCGTTGCAGACCTGCAGCCACACAGCTTGTACGGACTGGTTAAACAGATGGCAGTCCTAGACAGCAAGCAGTTTATCAAATACTACAAGTATTTCTTTGTGAGTTACGACAGCAGCATAGTTTGTGATAAGAAATGTAAGGCCTTGCAGATTTGTGCAATTATGAGTCTTGACCATGTTTCCTACACAGACTGCCTCAAGAAATATTATGTAAAGCGCGGCCGCTAGTGCTTTGCGGTTGGCATCAGTGGCCGATGGAACGCGCCTCTGTTTCTGAGACCAGTTTGTGGGATTGTTAAGTGAAATCTTTGTTCATTCACTAAGTGAATGAGCAGAACTATGGTCTTTGTTTTCTAATCAGGCTGAGGTGTAGATACATATAACATTCTAAATTTTTATTAAAGCGAATGTACTTAGGCTGCCTATCCATGGAATTACGTTTGGATGTAAATATCCTACTGTATAGTTTATATGATTGTACTTTACTTATATTTTTGTTGAAATTATTACTCATACAGTGAAGCAAAAGACTTATTCTCTCTACTGTGACTCAGTATTCTTTTTTTTAAAAATAACATTTGTTATAGGGTCTTACTATGCAGCTTGGACTCTGAGTGATCCTCCTGGCTCTGCCTCCCTAGTGCTGGCACTGGGATTACAGGCATATAACCCCATGCCCAGTGTGGGTGGCTGGCACAGCATGGGGGCCAGCATGGCATGTGGTGTCAGGGGTCAAACTCTGTTCTCTGTGCTTGCCAGATGAGGCGATTAGTCCGCTGAGCTATCTTGCTCACTCAACTGAGTATTTTTGATGGAATAATTTTCAGGCTTTTAATTCACATTTGTTAAAACCTCAGGTTTACCCTGGGTATGGTCGTGCATGCCTATAATCCCAGCACTCAGGAGGCTGAGGCAGGAAGATTGCCTTAAGTGCACGGTCAGCCTGGGCTACATGGTGAGGTCAGGAACAGCCTAAACTATATAGGCAGACCCAGTCGTGAAAAACAAGAGAACAAAAAGCCCTAAAATCTCCTCACGTGTAAACTGAGGTTCATGCTCTTGCCCTCTCGGCTGCAAACGAGGCGAGCAGGGTTCTGTATGTTGTCTCCTCTGGGGCAGCTCCAGAGCTCCTCAGGACCACTTCTGGGTCTAGAGGATGTCACAGGGGCCCTGCCTGGCCTCCTGCCCTGCAGGGTGGCGCTGCCTCCTCTGAAGGATGAGCACATCTGGAGCTACACACAGTGTGGCTTCAGGACCGGCGCTCTGGACGCTTGCCGGGGCTGTGACCACCAGGTCCATCAAAAGTTGAAAATTGCAGCATCTGCCTGCTTGGCTGTCTGGGGCAACGGGCTTTACGCCGAAGGCAGAAGGTAGGCACTTCTGTGGGCTGGTGGCAGGGTGCTGTGACCAGTGCTGGACCTTCTTGTGAGGTAGGAGCTGAGTCCTGCTCTCCTTGCGGATCTGCCTCATCTGACAAGGTGTGGCAGGGGGACATGTGCTTCCCCTGCAACCGTGGAGCTACCTGGCGTTCTGAAAGAATTGAGTGACTAGGTGACTATTTTGGGCCAGTTCTCTCCTCAAAATTGAACATGAAATTCTCCATTGGTTAGTATTTAGTTCTAGAGGCATACTTAAGAGTAAACTCTAAAAATACATACTAAAATTGATATATAACATATCTATGGGGGCATTGTTTGAAAACAATAACAACAAAGGTGTAAGTAAATACATGTTGTCTCAGCTGCTCTTCTCTCATTGCTGGGACAAATGCCCAACACCCAAAGTGAAGGAAGGACAGGTTTATTTAGCTCACAGTTACTGCAGGGTTCAGTCCATACGTGGCTGGCTCCACGGCAGAGCGGCACACGGAAGAGAGTAACCGTCCTTGGCGGCGGCAGACAGCAGAGAGCCCATGCAGGAGCAGCAGCAACAGTGCAACAGAGAGTCTGTCTCTCTGTCTCTCTTGTATTGCACTCAGGCTCCCTACCCCTGGCTGGGGGAGGTACACACACCCATAATCCCAGCAGTGCTAACACCCATAATCCTGGCCTTGGATTACCCATAATCTCAGTGGAGCATGAGTTAATGACAAACTCTAGAAGTGCCCGCCCCATGACTGCATGAGGCTTTGGGCGGACAACTAGATACAAACCATAACATATATCAACAAGAAAATGGATAAATATGGCTTATTCAGAATGAAATATTGTATAGAAGCCTATGTGAACATGAATGAATGTCACATGCATAATGATGTTAAAAAGGATAACTACAATATATAATATCATTGAAATCAAACTTTAAAATGCAAAATAACATTTTTTGTTTACAGATAATGAAGTAAATCCAAAAGGATACGTTGGTAAATAATGCCAAGTACAGGGCAGGTGGGGAAATGAGACAGTTGTGTGGAAGGAGATAGCCAAGAAGCTCTAACTTGGCCGTGGCCCAGAGCTGCCGGCTCTCCTGAGGAAGTGGACTTCCTCACCTGGGTCTCTGCATGGGTCTCTAACTTAGAGCAGTTGGGTGCACCTGCGTGGCACAGGCGAACCACGCCCAGAACACTGGCAGGAAAAATGGAAAGCCGGGGGCCAGCTCTATATTATAATCCCAATTTCCTAAGACTTATCTAAATTCTGTTTCTGGAGCTATCCTTGTTAAACACAAGGATGCTGCAACATCCTTGTTAAAATAATTTCTTTCCAAAATATCTGTCTGTAAAAAATGCAAATCAGTATAAAAGTCTTAAAGATCTTTTAGTATAAGATTGGAGTTTTCTGGGTTCTATTTTGTATGTATCACATTCCCATTGAAAGCTTTAAAAATTGGTGTTTTGGAAGTGACTGAATGCCCCTTCTTTGTTTCCTGGGCCTCGAAGGCTTCTTTCTCCACAAGCCCAGGGCCAGCAGAGGTGCTAGGAACTTCGGCAACCTTTTCTCCCTCCATGTGGATTACTGTTTTACCCAGGACCACGCTGTGCCCCAGTGAGAGTGTCTGCCGCTCTCTCTTTATTTTTTTCCACTTTCTCTTTAACATAGCCACAGTAGTCCGGATCCGGACTAGTTTCTAAAGGCCTCAATGTATAAATTACCTGTAGCCAAAGCCTTCGAGCCCTTTCGGGCTTACCTGGGATCATTAGTGCCTTTGCTTATGCCTCCCTTTTTGGTTTTTCTTTTCTTTTTTTTTTTTTTTTTTTTGTGGAACCAGGGATCGAACTCAGGTCCTTGAGCTTGCCAGGGAAGCACTTACTCCACTGAACCATCTCCCCGGCCCCTCTTTGTGGTTTTTCTTGCTCCATTATTGAAAGGAAAAGGATTGTCTTACTCAAATTCATTTTCTCCCTCCTTCCTTTCCTCCCGCCCTCGGATGCGTCACTCAGGCTTGCGCCCTCTGCCTCACGGCTGCCTCCTAAGTGGGTCAGGGGCTCACGGACGGCTGTGATAACACGGCACAGACCAGGGGCGGAGATGGGAGTCACCTCAGCGCGCCGCGGTGGGAAGGCCAAGGCCGTTGGGCCGGGCTGCCTTTGGGTTTCCGCGAGGCGTCTCCTCCCCGCTTGCTCTCCGCGGGCTCGAGTGGCACCGGGGGAGCACAGGGAGGGTCCAGGAGCGCCTGCGCCCCGTGTCTGCAGCCGGGCGCTGTTCCTGGGCAGTCCGGGCCAGCCCCGCCGCTGGAACTTGGACCCGATCTGCAAGCGCAGACGCCCTAGATAGGCCAGGGCTTGCACGCGTGAACCTGGACGTGCTGACGCCCGAAGCCTTGATAAGTCCACAGCCCTGAGCAGCGCAGGTCCGCGATGTCGGATGGAAGCCGGTCGGAGCAGGACCGTACCTGAAACTTAGCGCCCAGCGGGCAGCGGGAGCTTCCGGGCGGAGGCAGTTGCGGCTGGAGCCCGCTTGCCCGCCTCCCCAGGCTGCAGTCAGCGGCCTGACCACCGTCTGTGACTCCATTTGTCTCATCACTTAAAGGAAGGCGGGGAACCACCTACAGCGTTCTTGTGGGGAGTCAGCGCAAGTGCACGCAGCCAGTTTCTGGAGGCAGAGATCCGCATGAAGGTACAGATCTCGTCTTCAGAACTGTCAGACACTCAGGGAGCAGAATGCGCTTGGCAGAGACGCGGGAGAGCAGAATGCAGACGCTGAAGTGAGAGAAAGCGAAGCCTCTCACTGTCCCGTGGCTCTGGAACACTGAGTTTATGCGCACTTAGCACCAGCACCACTGTGCCATTGTGCCCCCAGTCACTGCGAGCTTGCTTAATGTCCCGGCCATTGTCCCGGGTGCTGGTAATACAGCAGTGGGCCGAAAAGGTAACAACTTCTGTGCTGGTGGAGTGTGCACAGGGGTGAGATGTGCGTGTGTTCATGTGTGTGCATGCGCATGTGCGCACATGTGTATGTGTGGTTTAAAGGTAATACTGGGGCTGGGGAGATGGCTCAGTAGAATAAGCACTTTACCTGGCAAGTGCAAAGGCCTGAGTTCAATCCCCGGTTCCGCCAAAAAAAAAAAAGTAATACTGATTGCTTTTGAGCCGCACCACACAACGAAAACGGATGCGTTCATCAGTTCCTGTGTTTTGCCGAGCCACCTTCATTCTACTAGATTTCATTCCTAGGGAACTAATTTAATGAAACAAAAGCATCCGAAATATTGGCAGCTCAGGTACAAAGAAGTCCACTTAAGTGGCTGCTTTGTTTGCAGTTGCCTTAGTTACATAAACATGGAGATAGGTATCCGAGTATAGAAGAAAGCTCCCTACTCTCTGATGAGTCCCCAGGAGATTTGGTCTCTGATCACTGTTGAGGGCCCTTTTTGACACTCAGAACCCTTTGGAGAGTGAGCCTTGGGCATTTATTCTGTGATCCGGAGGCCACAGCAGGTGGCGCTAGGAGCAGTGCTCCTGCCGCAGGACGCATTTCCTGGGGGGCTTCCTTGGGGCCTCACCTTCTGCCAACAGGTGTTGCAGCACCAGAGCGGCTACCTGGCTGGTTTCTCCTTAGCTGAAGATTCACTAATCACCATTTCCTTTCTAATCTAGCTAGAGTCTGTAGCTGAATTCTATGTGGTTTTTAAAATTAATCTTTGGGGCAAGATTAGTAGCACTTATTTTAGAATATTTGGATATTAAAATCTTTCAAGATTAAAAGTTTTAGAATTCAAATGGCATTGAGGAGCTATTTATATTTGAGCAGATTTGGTTGCTTTACCAGAAAGAACCAAAATCTTCATGCTTTAAAAGCAGAAGGGATATGACCTTTGAGAAAAGCACATTTAAGATGGTATTTGTCCTCTTCCCTAATTTCAAATATTAGTGTCATTACTGGTTCAACCTAGTCTAATGTCCATAAGTGACACATTAAGGAAATTCAAATTATTAAATAAAGCTGTGCAGCGGTTTATGAATTTCCTACATGGACTTTCAAAATGATTCCTTTAGTGCATTAATACTTCAGCAGCCCTTTGGCCCATCTTCCCCATTGTGCATGGGCAGACTTGGCTCAGAAAGGTTAAGTGATCTGCTCAAGGAAGATGCCTGATAAATAAAGAAGCTG